GAGAGAGAGAGAGATTCTACTAGCTGAATGGTCTACAAAAAAGTATAAACTAAATGACCAGATTAATGAGAGGAAGCGATCTGGACAGTCTACATTCACAAAAATGGGGGGCACATCTTGGGCAGCAGTTTTTCGTACATATCCATTTCTTCTAATTGGGGTGCCTATACAAGACATACAAATTGGTGAAATTAGGGGGTCCATTAGACCTTTTTTCAGGGGGGAAAAGAAAAAGAGTTCTAACATGCAACGCTTCGCCATTCATTATGTGAGCTTCAATCAGGGCACTGGGGCCAACTAATCCATAGGACTGTAGGCTCACACGATCTTTTTCATGTGTGTCTATGTGTGCATGTGCGCGTGTGTGTGTGCATGCATGCATGTGTGTGTGTGTATGCACGTGTGTGTGGGCGCGTATGCGTGTATGTAGATGTATATTGTTGTGTCACCAAATCCTACTTTTTAAGGCTCAAATAATCCAGCCGTGTCAAACACTGGGAATCATATCTACACATACACATCATATGAAATAGATACCAAAGGTGTGTGCATATATAGCTCTACAAATGCTGCAATAAAAGAAGCCAGTGTTCACTTACATGGAAAAAGCAGAGGAACAAGTGCTAGTCATGCTACTATCTGATATTAGAAAGATGGTTCCTGAATATAGGATAGGCACTATCTGATATTAGAGAGATACTTCCTGAATATAGGATAGGCCCCAAGTAAGGTATTTGACTGGACACTGAACCAGTCAGATCAATAGGATCATTAGCTCTTTCTATAAAAAATGCCCCCACCAAGCTTTCTCTCACTCGAGAAGCCTCTTTGGCCTGATGTTCTTCTCCACTACCATTGTTCTAGAGTCCCTCACTAACCATATGTCCCTTTGAGATTCAAAATCAAGGTATGCTTCCATTCTCAACATTACCGTTGAAGGTTGGGAATGCATCTTCTTTATCACTACTTTCAACTTTAATTTGATCACAAGCACATTCCACAGTTGGGATTTCTTCTTTAATTGAACGCTGTGATATTATTGCATTCGAATGAATGAGTCACAAGGCACATAGCAAGAATTTTTTTCCCTTTTAATTTAAAGTTTACAAACATATTATAATGTAAGAATGTAGATGAAAATTTGTATAGAATATAGAGAACATACTTTGATAGAGCAAAATGGCGGACCAAGACAGAATAGAACGGCAGACAAAGATTTGTGTAGCCGACTCCAAATAGATGGGAAAAGGCTCTGATGATGATGATAGGTGAACATATCTCCAAAAACGAAAATGATAGGAATGATCAAATTGTTACCTCCTTAGCTTCTTGTTGCGTCACAATGTCATCAGACTCCAAATCCTGCACTAACTTCGGTTTGATGAAGGTAACATTTTCTTCACAACTATTGTTTCCTCTCTCTTCAAATGAACCAAATCGACTTCTCTCTTCTTGCAATGAATCTCCCGGAGTGAATTCTTTGCACCATCATTATTTTCACCATTAAAGCCCTCATGAAAAATTGAAGACAGGGCATCCTACTATCCTCCTTATCCTCTTCTATCAACAAACCACAATCAGCTACGTGCATTTATAGTTAAATCACTGTTTTCATTAACACCCGACTGTAGATTCACAAACATTCTTATAACGAGACGCACTATATTCCACAGGCTACCCATTAAGATGGAGAAAAGTCCACAACCTGAAGAGAAATATCACCCATATACAAATCCTTAACATGTTGCTTACATAATGGTATCCTCTTTCTATTCAACGCAGGAGGAATCCATGAAGAAAAACCAGTTTTCCAACCTGGATGTTTCCTCTTCTCAAACACATGCACCGAATATATACTCGAAGCAGGGACTGAACAACACATGACTCGACAAACTCGCAGAGCAGACGGTCTCTTCACTTGTGCTAGAGAGAGAACAAAAAGCCCAGCATAAGCACTGCCGTATAACATCATCTCATCCTCAGAGGAGAAAGATAAAGAATCCCTTCCATTTGTCATCTTTTCCTTGTCTTTAGAGAGAGAAAAAAACTCCATCTGTCCCCTCAATGGGATATTACTAAGTTCCAATTCATATCGCCTCTCGATAACGGCTTCTGATACATGATGCTTAGTGGAAAGAGTTCGGACACAAGATTTTCTCACACATTCAAGGAGCATTAGCCTCACGGTCTCAAAGTTATCGCATTCTCTGAACCAGTACTTCCACCTATGAACTAATCCACAAAACCAATTTATAATTTGGAGGTCATCCTGTAAGATAAGCATAGAAATATGTCGTGGGTTTCCCTCTATATCAATCAAGCCATAGCGAATCAGGCTCTTTTTCAGAACGCGGATGGGTGCCTCTAGTTTAGTGGTCATGGTTGGTGAGGAAAGAGAGTGGCTTTCAAGGAGTGAACGGGTAGAGAGGGATTCAGATGAGATGTACTCCTTGGCCTTTTGTTGGAAGTTGTAGAAAGAATTTACAAGCTCTAAAGGAAGCTCTGGCTCGACAATATGTTTAGCAAGTGTTTCTTCCTCATTTCTTTTCACTTGAGTACCCAAGTCTTGTATCCAAATCTTCAACAAGTGCCTAAACCAATGCTCCGGTTCCATTCCTGGCCTCCGAAACTCCGAGATCCTATTCATCAACACCATGCTCATGTTCTCCTCTCTCTCTAACTTTTCCTCTTTGATATTCTTTAAGCACCGGCCCACAAATTTCTTCCCGATTCTCGCTGTCATGGCTTCCCAGTAGACCTCCTTTTGAGATGCAAACAACTGCATTTTATCCTTAAGCTTATGCACCACCCTCACTGCACTACTGATTTCCTCTCTATCACTAGCTCGAATAAACATGCCTAGAAACCGAACTCCCGATGTGGGTTTGATTAGAGGCGACTCACCTTGTTCCACCACCTCTAGAGAGAGAGATTCTCTAAGATAGCCATATACACTCTCCCTTATTTCAAGCGCCAAATCCTCAGGTCCTGAAACAGCAACTAAGATCTCATCCATATATCTACAAGCATGCAATCTATGTGCTTGTCTATTATGGGAATCTTCACCTTTTATTTGTCTCCTAAACCAATTTCGTAATTTAGAGCTCCGGCCAGCTTGAATTGGGTCATCTTTATTGGGACTTAGACCTTCATATCTCATACACAACCTGTAAAATTCCGCATCAAAGAGAGAGAGATAGACATTCATCAAGATAGGCGAAAGCGTTCCTTCTTGGGGGAGGCCTTGGCCTTTTGGGAACCCCCCAAACTCTAAGTTGAGCACTTGAGCTTCAAACATAAGACGAAGTAATGCGTAGAAACTCGCATCCTCAATCCTTTCCTCCATTATAGATATGAGTCTGTTAAATACATGGGTATCAACCTCTTTCGTCACACAAAATGCAAAATACCAATTGGGGTTTTCTATCTCATTGCAAATGTATCTGAGAGCTGATTGAGTGCCCCTTCCACTCCGACAACCATGGCAGATCTTAGAGAAATGGGGCCTGTACACTACTTCCACAACTATCCTAATCGCCTCTTGAATTACCTTAAGCTTCAGATTGGGAAGGATCAAGTTTCTTTCTCTAAGAGATTTTGGTGAGATTTTCACTGTATTTGCTTCAACATCGAAGTCCCCCCTCAAAAGCTCCTTGGCCATGGAGATGAAACAGAGACCGTCATGTTCGTTGTTAGCTTGACTATTTGAGGAGTGTCTGATACTATTATATGCATCCTCTAGAGTTTTTGATGTTGCAATTACATTTGTAACAAGGTTGTGGAATTTTCCATTTAGATATTGTTCTTTAACCCTCTTTTTGATGCGGGTTTCCAATGACCTTTTGAGCTCCACTCTAGTTTGGGATGGTTTGTCAACCTGAAAGTCCGGTAAAAAGGCTAACCTCTCTCCTAAGGAGATGGATGGATAATTTTCTTCTTTAGAAATACGTGGATATAAATTTTCTCTGTCCTCTTTAGACTTTGGGAATGGTTTCTCAAAGGGAAGGTCAGGTAACTGGGTTAATCTGTCTCCTAAGGAGATGGGAGGAGAATTCTCTTCTTTAGCACTACGTGAATATCTATCTTCTCCCACATCTTTTGAAATGCGTTGATATAAATTCTCATCTGAAGCTCCCAAAGTTGAATAAAGCAATGAAATTTGGGTGCATTTAATAAGCCTCCCTGCAACACAAGGTAAGGTAGAGGGCAGTAAGCATTGTCGACACATGCAATAAGTAATTCAAGCCACCATGAGGTGCACACACATTGTAGACACAAGGTGACAAGTATCACCATTTTTCTGAGGTGTGCACAACATCCTTAACATTAATAAGATGACTTTAAGCATGTGTAGGCAGAACTCCACAATAAGTTGTATATGATAACATACATCTAGAGGATAGTGAACATCGTTCATGCATAAAGTTTTTTTTTCCTGAGACTGTCATTCATGCGCAAAGTTATGGGATAGCATATCACAATTCAAAGAAATATGGAGAAAAACATAATCCATTGGTCTCATGACTGTCCAATGAAAAACATGGCTGGTGTGTGTGTGTATTTGAGAGAGAGATAGAGAGAGAGGGAGAGAGCGAGAGAGAGAGAAAGAGAGAGAGGCATCCACCATTCTGGCCATAACTCTGTTCTGGCTGGTACGCCTCCCTCCCTACTTTCCTTCCTCAACCCTAACTCATGTGGTCAGCATCTAACCATTACCTGAGTTGCTGGCAGCATATTTGATCAGAAAAGCCATTGAAGGTATGATGGAGGCATTTAACAGTCACTCTTTGTGAGCCAGTTGCCTCATTCTTCACGCAAATTAAAGAAGGATCAAATGAGCCAACGCCTGAATGCAGAGAGAGAGACTGAACAAATTCACATACTCTTACAATCAATTTAAATAACTTCGGATTCTAAATTTTCGTTAATCAAATTATGCAAAGTCCACGTTTTGAAACTGGTCATTACAAAGAAATCGAGAGTATCAAAGAAAGAAATCAACATAGGGATACAATACATCTGTAGAACTGGGGTGGCAGAAGAGCTGCCATAAAAACAAGCTTAAGACCTCACGCAAAAAGGCATGTCACTTCCTTTAGACCCCCTTCAATGGGGAGTCATCCATGACTCATTAAAGGACTCTTTACTTTTATATATCATGAAAAAAGGGAACACAACCATCTCAGACCCACCCAACTCTACCAAAGTCCTTTCTAACTAATGCCCAAGAGATTAAGATCATCTTTATGATCTCTACCACAGTACAATCAGCTCCCTTTTGCACTTAATACCCTTGGAACACTCCAGCTTAATGGTTTACATGAGACAGAGACTCTCGCAAATATTTCAATAAGAGATGTCTAGAGTTTATCATGTGTTAAGAAATTCCTAGCCAGTTCAAATGGAGCAGCCATTTATATCTTTGAAAATTCTAATGGCATGACCTACCTGTTCTTAGGCTTACAAATTACACTCCAACCCAGTACAATATTCAGAGAAACAAAAGATTTAGGACTCAAAAAGAAGTCATCATAATACGCTCAAGGAATCCTTTACTGAAGGTGAAAAAAGAGGGTTTACAAAATTAACACTTAAAATAACTAGATATGCCTACATTACTCAACTCTCCTTTTAATTGCACATTTACCATTAGGAGAGCAAAATACAAGTGAGAAGGTTTCCCTTTGGAAAAGGGCAGAAAGGCAGACCAATATATTATCCTAAGAGGAGAACAACTCACTTAAAATGGTTCCTTTTGTATACTAAGACATAAACATAAAACAGTCATCTAACAACAACCCATGAATTCGACTATGAATAAGTAACAGATATCCACAAGCCATATCAGAATGCAAAATGTGGATGTTGTTTATATATCCACTGAAATCATCTAAATGAACAAAACCCAGTCATCTCAAATTCTCCAACCCTCTTTGAATCAAACAACTAAATTCCTTAATTTTTCATATTCTTCGACCAATTGGCAAAAAACAAAGAAATCCATAAAGCCCTGCATAAAAAGCTAAGAACCCATTTGATTGAAAAACTATTCTCCACTCATGAAGGAGAAGAACCCAATCAAGTTTCTAAACCAAAAGTAGAAACCCATGAATTGTATGGGTAACAGTTTGAAATAACAGACTTAAGACCCACATCCAAAAATTTAAAACTATAATTAAAATAATAGACTTATGACCCACATTGAAATTTTAAATCACAATTAACAATATAGAATGTCATATCACTCGAAAAGAAAATTAAAACAATGCAAAGAAAATCACAGTTGGAATTGAAAAAACCCATAAAAATGAATCCGTCATGACATCCAGCAGTTTCCGATTAGTTTGTTCAACGAGCAAACCATAATATTCAAGACCCTCAAGGATTTTCGAATTAATTTAACTTTTTTCCACTTATCAAAACTAAATATAACCAACCAAGAGCCAATAACCTGGTAACGAATCACCAAAAAACAAAAACTGAAGCTATTCTAGTTCTCGTTTTAGTTCCATCGAGCATAAACCAATCTAATCAAATCCATTGAGAACCACATTGCACCAATACAAAATAACAACTCAACAAGCTAACTGTCTTTCTCCAAAGAAAGAAAACACCACTTGGTAAAAACAAACACAATGGACATGTCACGAGAAATCAAAGGGGGAAGAGAGAGCAAAAGAGAAAGAGAGAGACTCACCCCCAAATTGGGACCTCCGATCAGTTGGAGGAGACCATGACAATTCATGACCTCCAATCCATTGGGGGAGCCCATGACAATCACGCACAGCATTGAAGACACTAGACTCCCATCACTTGATACATCCGACACCAAGGGAATGAATGAGGGAGAGAGCTTCGCGGGGGGGAAGAATCCCATTAAGTGGATAGATTTTAAGAGGACGTTTGCCTTAGGACTCGAGAAAACTAAATGAGTTCTGTGCGAAACGAACCCAGTTCTTGAAAGTGGTAGACGTGGCAACAGGTCAGGTAGGGTCCGGGTAAACCCAGGCCCAAGCCTGTGTACCCAGGCCCGACCTGACCCGACTAAGTTTCACCCATACTGGCTCCAGGTTGGGTCCAAATGACTTGGACTCGGACCCGAGTAGGGTCCGAGTCATTTTGACCTAGACCCAAACCAAACCTAGGCCTAGAAATTTTAAAATATAAAAAACTTGTTTTATATATGGGAAAAGTTTATATAGAGCCGAGGCTCTAAACAATCAAATTTGAGCCTACCTCAAAAATTTCATTAAAAGAGGTTGTTTTGATGTTCAAATATCTTCAAATTGATCATCTCGACCTCAAGATGCGTAAAAATGAGAAAAAAAAGGATTTCAAGTTTTGAAAATAATGTATTTTGCAGTGTATTTTTGGACAGTCAATTTTCAAGATTTTTAAGTTTTCATAGATCTGTCGATCTACACTATTTTTGAAGCTTTAAACTTAATAAATAAATATAAAAAATATATTTTAAGTCTATCACTAAGATTTCCAATATTAAAGCCACATTTCTCGATACTATTTGAAGGTAGGCTCTAATTTGATTGTTTAGAGCCTAGGCTCTATACAAACCGCACCCTTTATATATTATTACACGGTGGTTTGTATAAGGTTATAACCAAAAACAATTCAATTAAGGCGCACATCCAAATTTTATTCATAAGATATAATTTTGGTATAAACAATTCTTAAGAACTATTAAAATATATTTTGGTGTAATTTTGGAGTAAACAAGCCTTAAAATATATTTTCATCTTTATTTATAAAGTTTAAAGCTTCAAAAATAGTGTAGCTTGACAGAGCTATTAAAACTTAAACATTTTAAAAATTGACGGTCCAAAAAATTGCGCTACAAAATATACTATTTCCAAAACTTGAGATCCATTTTTTTCTCATGGATCTAGATGTCAAGATGATCAATTTAAGGATATTTGAACATCAAAACAACCTCTTCTATTGAAATTTTGTGATAAACTCCAATTTGATTGTTTAGAGCCTCGGCTCTATATGAACTTTTCCCATATGAAAATCTATTTTTATCTCTAATTATAATATTTTAAACTCCCAAAATGGTTAAAATCAAGTAGATCTATAAACATATAAAAATCTTGAAAATAGAAGGTTTAGATAATTTGTTGCGAGATGCACTATTTATGAGACTCAATATCTTCTTCTTCTTCTTCATATTCATACATCTTAATGTCAAGATAATCAATTAGATAGTTTTTCAACGTTAAAACAACATTTTCCGATGATTTTTGAAGTACATCTTAAATTTTACATTGCAACTTCATATAAACTTTTTTTTTTATTTCATATATATATTTTATATATTTATGCGGGCCAATCCAACCCGATAGGATCCATGTTGGACCCAAACTCAAACCTGTGCCAGTGGATCCTACACATGGATTGGACCTTGAACCCACTTTGGGGCGGTAACCTGATTGGCACCCCTATTTTAATGCTTGGTAATTTTAAACTTGTATTCTGGGTCCAACTCTACCACGGCCAATCCAAGTCGATCATACCAATTCCAAAGCTCAATAAAAGTAGGAGGGTTGTGTTAGGTTTGCAGGTAGCATAAAATTTTATCAAATTTTTTAATAAATCCTGAACCGATTTTATATGCTCATACTAGGGCTTCCATGTAAACGATATAAACTTATGGTTTGATTGAGGGTATGACCCTTGATAGAGCAGGATGACGAATATTATTTGTGTAGCCGACCAAAAAGTTGGGATAAGGCTCGGATGATGATGATGGTATATTTTGATCTAAAATATGTGAGTTGATGATCTCGATGGCCAAATCGGTAATCTCTATGTCTACCATTATGCATCTAAGAAAAAAAGAAAAAAAAAAAAGAATTTTAAGACAATCTGACTAACTTTTCTTTTGGACTGCTAATGTACTTTTTTCCACTGCACTTTTTTGAGTTTCAAAATTATGGATCCAAGACAACAGTTGCATGTGGAGTAACATTAGGATGGCGTTGATACCTTTCACTGCGGCCACCCTCATAATCACCCCTACTGTTAACTTTCCAGGATTCTAGGATGCATATGAAAAAAATTGGTAAGGTGAAAGCTAGAAATACTGTTTGATAAACTGTGGTGCTGGTAGTTTTATATGTTTGCCAATGAGAAAGTTTTAAACTGTGGTGCTGCTAATTTCCCATGTTTGGCATTGAGAAAGTTAAAAACTACCTGTAATACTGTTCATGATGTATTTTATTAATATGATATGCGAAATGCAATTTTTTAATAATATTTTATAATTAAATAAGGTTCATTCCATTCATCCAATATAATACCAAAAATGTAAATAGATTCGAGGAATATTTTATTATGCTTGGGGATTTCATAAAAGTGTGAACCCCCTATGATGCTACTAATATTTACATAAATAAGAAACAAAATTGATTGTCTTAAAATCAAAATTTCACTCAATACACAGGAGTCTTTAAGAGCAAACATATTCCTGTTATTTAAAATATATATATATTCAATTCAAAAGTTTTAAAGCCAACCATTCCATTTTGCCACCACACTAGTACATTACAAAAGACAAGTTTGTCTCATTTGAAATAGTAACACGAAAGCAATCACTTGAATAGAGAGAATGAGAGAGAGAGTTTGATCATGTTTCTGCGAGCTGATTTGTGTAGATTATACCAAAAATACAATTTCTTGTTTACAAAGTTGTTGTAGGGCCTAAAGCAGAATAGGACCGGTACAAAGCCTAAATATCAAAAATGTAAGTAAACATACTTGAGGTTATTTTCCTGTTTTCCAAGCTACAAGGATTTAAAGTAATGGATAGTTAAAAGAATATTAAAAGAAAAAAAGGTATTTTCAGTGTATTCTAGGTATCATTATAACAGAATCACCTCTTATAAATACTTGAAAAGGCAACATTCATATGAAATTTTGTAATTTTGTACAGTATACAAACTTGCAAATTTTCACAAAGAAAAACCAATTATCAGAATAGGAGTGTGAAGCTCGAAAGTACCTGACCAACACTTCCCCAATCTGTTGGCCGTGCAACACTCTTTATGGTCTCATTTTCTTTATCAAATAACATAACAAAATTTCCCAATTCCATTGTAAGGTAGGTTTCATATCCTATTCCATGCCAGATATGTTCACGAGAATGAACGATGCATTCCAATTCACACCATGGATCACAAACTATGATAACGTCTACCCATTTATCTTTTCAAATTAATAACCTAAACCAAAACAAATTAGAAATGTATAGCGTTATATGGACTTGAACCGTAGACCTTCTCGATAAAATATATCAAACTGATTGTTATCAAAATGATTCGAATTGTTTCAAAATCCTACATGCACTTGTTTTGCTTTTGTATTGGGCTCTTTTACACCAGCACCCATTGAAACCAATCTTTTGGGGACGATAGCTCAAACCCAATGAAAGAAAACACAATCAGTGTACCCATAGCTCAAACCCAATGAAAGAAAACACACTCAGTAAGCAGATGAAATAGGCAAATAAATTTGTTGAAATAAAGACTCAAATTTTTTTACTGATGAACTCACGAAAATGGCACGAATGAAGTAGAACCATAGTTACAGTCAACACTCAACAAATGTCAAAAAAACAAAAGGAACCCAGGGTTTCCATAGGGTTTATAAAGGCTGATACCTTACTACAAGGAGAATAAAACGTAGAAAAATCTCAACGTACTCACTAATTTTTTATTGATTGTGGCTGCAATGAGACTATTTATCTTTAGTACAAGGTGGTCACAATTAATCTTGACCATTGGATGTGAAATTAGGTAGCTACATTTATCGCCTTGAGTCTCATTGTTTACGATCCCATTTGCTTTGTATTTGTGTCTTTGGAGATATTGACTTTTTCTTTTCCTAGGCTACACCTACGAACCCAAAAAAATAAATTAGTACATCCAAAATTTAGGAAATTGTTTCATGCGGGCTGGATCGCATTTCTATATATGCGGTCCAGAGAGTGTAAAGCATCCATCTTTAAGATAGATGCAAGTAGGTGTAACATCTAAAAACAATGGAAACTAACGGGCCAAACGTTTTCTTACTAGAATTATTATTTTTAGTTTTTAAAATTTATTTATTTTTTCATACTCATGATTTGTCCCAAAATTTATCACTCATCTCATCTAAATCAAACAATGTCCAATGCACATGTCCTTGCTAGAGTCTATCCATCGCATAGATACTTTACTTCAAAGGACACCATAATATAAATGTCGAAGCGAAGTAGGAACCTAAAAAATCAAATGGAATGATACATAGACAAGTAAATCCCTAATAGCCCTAATTTTCTTTGAATTAAGAGAATTTATCATTAAAAAAAAAAGAGACTACTCAATAATTCCACTAAAAAATTTGTTACAAAAACAAGGCAGTCTTGCAAACTCTGTTAAGGCAGTTTTTCCATAAAGTATTGTATACGCTTTTCTCAATTTACCCATATATCCCATATAAACACTTCAATTATGAAACACCTCCCTAATATATAGGGTGCGGTTTGTGTAAGGTTACAACCTTTAAACAATCCAATTAAGGCATACCTCCAAATTTTATCATAACATGTAATTTTGATGTAAACAATGATTATAATTATCTGAAAAATAATTTTTATATTTAATTATAAAATTTTAAACTCTAAAAATAGTTAAAATTAAGTAGATCTGTACTTGAAAATGGATGGTCTAGATAATGTGTTGCAAGATGCACTATTTTTGGGAATCAAATTTTTTTTTTTTTTTCATATTCATAGATCTCGATGTTGAGATGATCTGTTAGAGGGTTTATCAATTTTAAAACAACTTTTTTCGATGGATTTTTTAGGTGCATATTTAATTCTACATTTTTAAAGTTGCAACCTTATATAAAAATTTTCTATTTATATATATTAGGTGCATATCCCTTCTGTCCGTCTTTTCTACTTTAATTTCACCCTCACTTCGGAGTTTGAAAATCCGAAATCACAAATTACTTTGGATTTTCTATATCCATCAGTTTTTTTTTTTAAAAAAAAGTCATTTTTAGGGAAAAAAACAAACTCACTTCAGATATTGAAAATGTGAAGTCACCCTTGACTTCTTTTTAATTTCCATAGTTGCATGAAAATAGAGATTTCCAAGTCACTATTGATATTCAAATCTAAAAAATCCCATGCAACTTTGGATATTAAAACCGAAATCAAGAGGAACTTCGAATTTTGAAGTTCCTGAGTAACTTTGGTTTTTTTTAGAACAAAAACTAAAAAAGTAAAAGATAACTAGAGATATTGAAAATATGAAGACATCAACCTGCATGAAGAATTCGAATTTCCAATCTCTAGAGTGATCGGTAAAATTGCAATAAAAAAAAATGGATAATGCTTTATTTTTTAATAGCACATGTTAATTATTGTATTTTTAAAAATTAAAAGTTTATATAAGGTGACAACCTCATATAGTAGAGCAAGGTGCACCTTAACAGTCCACCCAAAGAGGTCCACCTAAAGAGGTTGTTTAGGTGTTAAAAAATCTTACAATGAATCATATCCCTATTTCGAGAAATATGGATACGGAAAAAAAGAAAAAATATCGTTATAAAATAGTACATCTTTTAACATGTTCTCTAGAACGTCCATTTTTTTTAATTTTTTTAATGTTTATAGGTCTGCTTGATGTACACTATTTATGGAACTTTTAATTTTATAAATACACATCAAAACAGATATTTAGGCCATTGTAAGTGTTTTCGATACCAAAATTGCATCTTTTAATAAGATTTAGAGGTTCGCATTTGTCTAAGATTGACACCTTAGCAACCTTTTCAAAAACAATATATCTTCCTCTACCATGTTAACGGATAAAAGTCCACAATAACAGCGACCACCGTATTATAACAGTCGGGCTACAAATTTTTATGTCGCTTTTTTGAACCATGGTATGCTTTGAACAATTCTAAGTTATCATCAGCATTAGATAGAGAGAGAGAGAGAGAGAGCATTTCTAAGTTGTCTATCTCCATTTTATGAAGATAGAGAGAGAACATTTATAAGTTATCATCAGCTCTTTATGGAGAGAGAGGTGATCTTTGCCATGTTCATCGAGAAAAAAATAGAAACGCTGATGCTCTAGCCAAAATGTCAACTTCCTAACACCATTTCTGGTCATTTTTTGCCAGGTTCATCGAGAAAAAAATGCGAATGCTGATGCTCTAGCCAGAATGTCAACTTCTTAACACCCTTTCTTCTCTTATAGAGTTCTACTCTTCTTCACCCTTTTCATTTTTCTCTCTTTCTTTTGCTTTTGTCTCTTGATGTACTACTTTCATTGGCTCAATGAATTACTTGTCAACGCTTAAAAAAAGAAAAGAAAAGAAGAGTCTGGGAAGTGGGGGGTTTGGAGGACTTTTTTTGCCTTGGCTTTTGCAATCGCATTATAGTTTTCTCCATCAAGTTATAATAGTTGGATTTTATTGCAATTTAAGCAATTTATTTGGCACTCTTCAAAACATCTTGGAGTAAGGAAACATAATGGTCGGTTAAGGTTTATGCAAATAGAAAATAATAAGAAACAGAGTCAGAAACCGTACCCCTTGATCAAGTATATTTTGTGCAGAAACTGTACAAAAGTTGTCAAGTAGTTAAAAAAGACAAATTGATGAGAAAGTTTGGACGTAAGGGGCCATGACTTCTTGCACGGCTTTTTAATCTATGCTGTGAGTATATAGAGCCAGGCATGACATACATGGAAGTTTAAAACAGAGACCAAAATCAGAACAAAAGCTGCCAAATTGGTTTTTGAGCCGGAGAGAAATCAGCAATAAAGACCAAAATCAGAACAAAACAGCTGCCAAAATGATTTGAAAAATGCGTTGAGCTAGGTTGTCTTTTATATATATAGGTGCCAAAAATGCATTGAGCTGGGCTTTGTTTTATGTATATAACAAAAAAAATTAATGATCCTATGAAACCCTCCCACACATAGGTGTAGGACCTTAAAAGATCACCATTAAATTTGACACTGATCTCTAAAAAAATCAAGTCCGACACCTATATGATAACTTTTCTAGAGATATGCATCTAATTTAATGGTGATCCTTTGAAATCCTACACATAGGTTTGGAAGAGGTAAAAAAATCAATTCTCACATCCATATGATAACTTTTTTTAATACCTGTGCCAAATTTAATGATCTTTTAATGTCCTACGCACAAAGGTGTGAGAGGATCTCCTAGAATCATTACTATATATATATATATAATGTTAAGAAATATGGTTTCAAAGAAATCTTTGTGATAGCCTCAAAATATATCTTCATATCTAATTATAAAATTTAAAGCTTCAAAAATCTTTATAGATCTAGCAGACCTATGAAAACATGCAAATATTGAAAATTGACAATCCAAAAATGCATGGCAAAATGCATTATTTCAAAAACTTGAAATCCATATTTTTCTCATGTGCTCTAATTTGATTGTTTAGAGCTTCAGCTCTATATAAACTTTTTCATATATATCTAAAGAGAGAGAGCAAAGGCCAAAATCAGAACCAACGCTTGTGCTTGGTTTTGTAGAGAGAGAGATCAACCAAGCTGCCAAATTGCTTTGAGCATGGTTTTGTCCATAGAGAGAGGAGCAATCAGCCAGATTTGGTCTGAGAAGAGAAGCAAAACCAGAGAGAGAGCAATCAGTCAGATTTGGTTTGAGACGAGAAGGACAGCCACAACAGGCTTCATGACTTCTCTTTTCCTGCATGGGCTAAGCTCTTGAATCATATTTTGAGACCTACTGATTGAAAACAATACCAAAAGTAGAACTTGCTTACATGTTTATCAAATTATGTTATAGAAAAAAAAGAATAAAACATTTCCCATGCCCAAAATATTCACACATTTAAATATACCACACCAATATTAACAGGCCCATGATATATATATCAGATTCAGAAGAGCTTGTCTTTCTACAACAAGAAAAATAATTGAATTTGAACATAAAAGAAATATGACCCCAGTAAGACTACATCAAGCAACCCTACCATATGCAATGCTTTGAACCTGCAACAATCACAGGAAGATGTTGTCCTAGAGAGAGGATATTAATTATAGAAACGAGGGGAAGGGGAAGGGGAAGGGGAAGGGGAGAGAGAGAGAGAGAAAGAGAGAGAGAGAGAAGAGAGAGAGAGAGAGAGAGAGAGAGAGAGAGGAGACAACGACGAAGACGAGAGGAAAGACGAGACGTAAGTAACGTAACGACGACAACGAAAACGGACCAACGTACCGACCGACCGCCGTCGTCGTC